TGTGTGTGTGTGTGTGTGTGTGTGTGTGTGTGTGCCAACACCTCCTCTTTCTTGCATCACAGAATGAGTGAAGCAGAAAAGCAAATGATAAGTTAATACCTGGGAACTGTGGTGGAGATTTACTCAGCCTCCCTGACGTGCAGTATTTCACAAGTTGACGTGTGTAAAACATCAGCGGTCACCCATGAGTGAGAAGGTATTTCATTAACTCAAATGGGACATTACTCATGTATCACAGGGGGAAATAAAATTCCAGATATGCGCCCAATCGCAAGGAGACACATGCTGTTCTTTTATATTCCCAGCAGAGGGAGCACTGTAATCACCTAGTAGCATAAACATTTGCAAATAAAGCAACTGATGACAGAGTAGCTGTGTGTTTCAGTGGTTAATTAAAACAGTGATAATTCTAATGATGTGATGATGATGATGTGTCACAGGAGGAAAACTCAGGCAGCAATGCGTCCAGCTCTGGATTCATCAGCCCTGAGTTCAGATGACGACAGCTTCTATGAACCGACCACCATCACCTCCATCCTCACTGAGGGCAACCTCCAGACCAGCTCCTGTTGAAGCTGCACTCTGGGGACAGGGCGAGGGCGGGACAGAAGGAACAGTGATAGAGGGTAGTGTAGGATATCTGGTTTGTAGTTTGGGAGTAAAGCCAAGAGGCAGAAAGGTACGACTACAGATAAAGTACACATCGTAGAAATTAGCAGGGGAGAGATTTCCCACACTGGAGTGAACGGAAGGAAACAAAACATCCTCTTCAGTTCGGGGAATTCACTTCAGTCATCTTTAATGTGCTCAGATGTTCTCCACGGCACAACTGAAACAAATCCTATTCATGCACCTCGTACATGACCAATACGTCTCAGACCAGTTTAAGGTTAAGATTGTTGCATCAAGCACTTATGGTTCTTTGTCTGGCTTTGACTGAAGGACAAATTATACTCTCATTTCCTGGTGTAAAAAGTTTACATGTTAGACTTTTTTTCTGGCTGAACTCAGTAATTAGTCAGGTAGAACTACACAAAACAAGGACTGTATGTCAACACTGATTATTAAAGCCACAACGGAATGGAAACTGCGAACAATGCAACAAAATAACCCTCAAATTAATTTTCATAACCAGATCTAGTGGTTTAAGTACTGTAAATGATTCCTGAATGAAATCTGGATTTTGTTGACTGAAAACAAAATATATATTTTTTTAGCTCTGGCATACGTCTGTCCTGTAGATAGTTTAGAGTTTACTGCACATTCCAGTCTTCACTGTCACACGGTGTACGTTATAAAATATGACACAAATATTGGATCTCAAATGGATCTCAAATAGCACATATGTGAGAGAAACCTCATGTTGGTACAAAGTTAAGTTATTCATTAATTCATTAATGAATCATTATTCTGTTGAGGTTCCTCAGTAAAGATGCAAACAATGTTGGATCTCGGGAGTTGTGTTTTATAACTCTGAGCACAGAGAGATCTGTGGCTACAAAACATCTTTCCTTCAGAATATTTATGAAGGATTAAAATGGTTTTCCACTTTCAAAGCAACAAAATGGCCAAAATTTCTTCCCTGTGTCGTAGAAACTTCACAATTTGTTTGGTTGAAGCTGCACAGATTCTATGCATTCCTTTATAAAACATGTACATTCATTTCATTACAAGGCCTTAAATGATTTATGATTTGACTTGTTATTAGTTTAGAAATTTGTTTTTGTAAAGTTTTGTAGAGTCTCAAACTGACTGGAAACAGTTTGAGCTTATAATTGTTTTACATTCTGCTGTAATGTAACATTTCTCTCTGTGTTTCCAGCGAAACTGGAAAACGGTACGAAAATGATTAGTTAGACAGCTGAATTTAAATATGTTGAATTTAAGGTGCTGGTATTTACTGCAATTGTTGAACAGAAAAGTTTCACCCTGTCACTGTACTTCAGAGAATAGTTTTTCTATTGAGTATGAATTTACAAACAATAAAATTATCAAGTTAAAATGATTGGTTTAATCTTTGTTGTTATTACAGAATATAAGTTTGACATTTTTACTCTGTAGTTACTTTTTAGAATATTTAAAATAAGGAAATAAGCAAATAAGATTACTAATATTTCATAATCCTCACAATTTCAGGATACATAATTCATCCTCATTATTTTTGAACATTAGTTTTTTAAACAAAAGTATTCCTCTTGTTTTCAAAATTAATCTTGATATCTGTGTTAAAGCAGAGGACGTGATGCTATAAAATGTATCTGTCGTCATGGGGAAATGCATTATCACACTTGCCTTGAGCATTCTGACAAAAAAAAGAAGAGCTGATAAAGACTTTACAGAGATGAATATCCTTGTGTTTGAGTGACACATAATACTGTCATGCTGCAATGCTGATGGATCACAATTGCTCTGTTTTGGCTGCAGGACTGTTCTTCTGTGGAATCAGATTTAATGTTTGTTATGTAAGCCTGAGTTCTGTGGAAGTGTGACTGAACATGAACCTGGTTAAGCACATAATGAGTATTATCACTGTGCTGTGTGTGTGTCCGGTGCACAGCCTTAATTCACACTGACACTTCCAAAGTCTTTAAAGTGACTCTGTGACTTTGTCAAAGTTATTAACCTGTGAGAAAATATTTTCTCTTACATTTCTTATTTGTATGATGCCTTAGTAAGTCTAATATCTTCTTAACTGCACATCTAAGTGTAGAGCTGAGGTACTGAATGAAACACATAGTTGTAGAGGCCTTGAAGTGAATCTAACATCTTCCGGTGACACAGGAAAACTACAATATCCCCTAAAACACAACTAAATGTGACCAACTGTAATGTTTGCATCAGCTGTTCCAGCCGAGAAGCAGAGCGCATGTTAACGTGCCATCCACCGAACCTGCAACTGACGGAGCGTGTCAGTGTTAATGTTTCACTCTCTGCAGAATTGTTTTCGTTGTAGCTGCGTTACACATCCCACTGAGCAGAAATAAACTGCTGATGTGTTGATACAAGGGGACGACATTTTCCCATTTATGGACACGTTCAGGTGACTGTTGTGCTCATGCAAACCTGGATGAGCAGATAAGGCTTCTTTTTTATGTCAGGCTGCAAACTAACATAAAGAGGCGGTTCCACAACACACACTTGGAACATGACAACTCACAAACTAAATACTGACATTGTCTGTGACACAGCAATACAAAGCAAGGTAGTTAAAAGAGACATACAGCTACTTGTAAAAGACAATCACTTTCTCTGCTAAGCACAATATGTTCCTTCACATGACACAACCAGCTGCGTTGTACAGCTGCCATGTTGCAGGTCATAAATCACTAGTACAAGTTTACAGAATCAAATCACGAAATCTTAAAAATGTTTGGAGAAATCAACAGTCCACACAACGAGCAAACGTTTCTGCCGCTGTGGAGAAAAAAACATCTGCCTCGACCATTTGGGATGAACGGAGAGGCATGGGGGAGAGAGGAGAGAAAAAACAATGAAGTTAGAAACATTTGAGCATTGTACAAGAGGCCGGAAAATACCAGAGCACTCCTGAGGTAGATTTAAGACAAAAGAAAAGTGTGTATGTGTTCCAGGTCTCTGAGTGTGATCAGGATCAAGGTCTCTTTGTGTGATCAGGATCCAGGTCTCTGTGTGTGATCAGGATCCAGGTCTCTGTGTGTGATCAGGATCGTGCTGTGAGCTGCAGGCTGCAGAGGCCGTGGTACTGTGGGTAGTGATGGATGAGTTGCTGCTGCCAGGAGCGCCACAGGGTGAGGCACGTCAAGAATGTCAGCGGAGATCTGTATGAAAAACAGGTTGAAGGAAACTTTTATTAGACGAGTTTATGAAACTAAATCTGATATGAAAAGAAAATCTCACTAAACTCTGACAACTGTTGATCCAACTCACAAATCTCAGCATAATAAAGAATGAAGGGAAGGGTTCATGTCTTTTGTGCAAAGCCCAAAACATTTTTTGGGACTTCAGGCATTTTTTTTCTCACATCCAGTGGATAGATGAAAGTCAGCACCCTGCAGGGACATTTCACCAACTCCTTGGATTTTAACATGTTTACATCCTATTTGGCACTTTCATAGCACGACTTTGTGATTGTGCGTCAGAGGTGTACGAGTCTCTTGCTGATTTTGACAAACTCACCCTACCTCCCTCTGCGCTATTGTGGGATTGATCTGAACAAAAGCCCTTTTCTTCCTGCTGGTTGTCGGGAATTGAGCTTTAAAATCTTTGCTTGCAACATTTTTGGGGGGCATGAAGTCACACCTGCAGTGTTTTTCAGTGGAACCAGACATTCATGATGCTACGCCTCCCATCCAGTGTCACCAAACCTGTACGCACCAACACAATGTGCACGGTACCTGTTTTACTGGCCTATAAATTATAAAGGAACATACTTTCCATGGGTGGGATTGGGTTTCCATAGCATTCCAGTTTTCCAGGCACAACCTAAAACCTGGGCGCTGATTTGCTCATCGCTGGGTGTGTTGTGTTTTGAAATCATGGTGTGTTTGCTATTACTGCATAGTTGCTGTTGTTCAGTCAGTATGTAGCCTCACGGCAGGTTTAAAAATATTTCCTTGTGTTTCCAAGTGTTACGCATGTGTGGATACAGGTTTAGTTGCGATACGAAGATATGATAATGTGTTTAATTATATAGTTCTGCATAAACTTAGACAAAAAGAAAAACAAACTAAAACATAGAGGGTGGAGCCATCACTGTAATTTCAATAGGTCATTGCTATAAATATCAACAGGAATATAAAAGCACTGAAGTCATTTTACTAATACCTCATAAACGCCTATGAAACTAATTATATATACACATATATATATATAGAAATGATGATAAAATGATTTAATCACTTTGCTTCCAGTCATCATTGTTTTCCAGGAAATCATCACATTACTCACATTAGTGCATTTCAACCTCTGACCCTTGAGCTGCCTTTTCCTGTTTGTTGGTCAGTTTTATATGACTGGATTATTAACCTAGTTTTAGATTTGTTGAATTTCATAGTTTCCTTTGGTTTCCAACAGAAATTAATGTTTTAACTCTCCTCATAGTGTTGATCATGATCGACTGGGAAATCATCGTTTTGTTCTCTGACAGATCTTCTTGTGATGTTCTTCAAACCATCACTGACTTACATGAGCAAATTCAAACTATTCAATACGGACACACTGAAAACACTGAACAACCAGTGAAGTGCATGCTGGGAATCTCTTTGGGCCTAAAACACTTTGACAGTTTGTTAAAGATACTCAATCAGTTCAACAATCAGATATCACAACTTAGAGTGAGTTCCCGAAGATAAGAGGACCATTAAAGGGACATGAGAAAACACAGAGTGGGTGAAGAAGGATAGTGACTCACTCCGTCATCTCAGACGTGCAAGAATGTAAACACATAGAAATCACAAGCGTCTGATCTGTGGATCAGTCTGTCTGAGTGTGGTCAGCTGCGTGATGTAAACACATAGTTAGGGCTCATGTTGTGTCGTGGGACACATGATGACACTGTGTGCTAATGTTCAGGTGTGTTTGTCAGAGTGTGTGAG